TGCGCAGCATTCAGTTCAGTTTATCTGAGGGAAATATAGGTGTTGAACCTTTGAACTCCCTATTTGTTACAAGAAAGCGAACTATATTAAAAATTTGAAAATGAAAACATCAAACAACTACAGAGTTTCTTCAGATTGGCAAAGTTTTCGAAACCAAACAGATAAACGAATTATTCCAGGAGTTAACAAAATTAACGTTGCTTAATATGCTGTACAGTAGTCTGTCGTTCGTTTTCCTCCAAGATATTTTGGCCACGCTGGGATGCCGGCCTCTGGAAGAGCTTATTTTCACCTGCCCGCAAAAACCACACTCTTTAAAAGCGATTTTACTGATTTTCAATACTCTTGTAAATACAAATATATTGTACAGAAAACAAACGCAAAACACTCTTCCTTGTGCCTACTTGGTTAAACGTTCCGTCCTCCTCAAATATTCTAGTTGGTGAAAACTTATCTTCCAATTTTAAAAAACTTTCTCCATTCTCCAAAAATTTTGATTCTGACCTGCTGACAAGCTGTATATATTCTTTTTAAGGAAAATCCCACATTCATATACGCTATTTAGAATATGTCATATTGGGCTCGTAAAACCTTACAGTGGATTGGAGCGATATTGTATACTTAACAAGCAGCATTTATAAATGGGTAAATGCGATGCTTTACAGGAAGATTTTTCCCGGTCTTGGAAAGTTTTATCATTAGAAACTGTAAAAAGCATAAAATCCCCTTTCCTCAACGACAAGACCCAAAGACGACGTAATTCGCCATCGAATGAGCACAAGAGAAATATGTCTTACGCGGTTTTCATAAATTATATTTAAATATATGAAGGCGTTTAAAATCATTTGGAAAAATGCAGGCTACCTAAGCAACCATTTCTACAGTGTAGTTTTTGCAAGCGGCCGGAAAGAAACTCCTTTAAAAGTCGGCATCCTGACGGATCTAAAATATCTTGTGATTATGCTACGCGACAGGTAGGTTTACAATTTCACTTAAGTATTTTTGTTTAATCGAGGAACAATTTCAAAATTTTATTAACATTTCATGAGACAGCACATCTGCTGCATATATCCGACCGAGGAACTCCGAGCTATCACCTAGTTATAGGGGAGTTAACTTTCAGACTCACATCAGACAACTTCACATTTAGTTGGGACGAAACAAGCTGAAGTTCTGCAAAGAATCGGAAGCAGTGAAACATCCTCGGGTACATAATGCACCGGTCAGTGTCTACAATAAGACCGGGTGGACTATAAGGGTATGTTCAAGAATCAAATTTAATAAGTAACCGGACAGTCTGGGGTGAAGACCGACTGACAGTCTTAACGACAAACAAACACAGAGTGGTCTCACAGGAAAAGGGAAAGAGGATCTACAAAATCTCTCTCCCCATCATTCATTCAGGCTTTTATCCTCGTTTTATATTATTCCAATTAATTTCAGGTTATCGCTCGGAGTGTTCTTTCAAAGGGAATTTTGTTCGACAAAGTCGAAGTTGGAGGGACGAAGTTATGATAACGGACGGAAACGAGCTGCCACAACTGTGTTTATAATAAGATAATTCGTTACAAATTCACGGAGACTTGCGCTACGGCAGTTCTTAAAAAATATCGGCCGCCGTCACGTGTACAGGATGCCTTTCCCCAATGTGGCCAGAGGAGTTTAAAGTTTGTCGGGTAATCACATTGAACGCCATTAACAGATTTTTGGAAACACGATTCTTGACAGCTGTTTTGGCAGTTGTTCAGTTTTGCAAAAAAGATCCCCTGGGCTGCAGACACAATTTTGCCCGAGTACCATGCGGCTTGCGAACAGCAGGGCAGTTGACTTGGCCAGGTCCACCGAATTCAAAGACTTTGTGGAATGCCCATTTCACTGGACTGTCATGTCCACCGTCATCTCAATATGATCTTCTTTCAGCATTGACGCAGACAGAATTTATGCCCGGCGGATTCCACAAGTCCCTTGTGGCTTTTCGCTAGAACGGTCAAATGAGGCTTGTTCAGACGGGGTTAATGCAGAGTTAATTATTGCCTCCTCTGAAAGGTGTGAATATGAAAACCACACAAAGTTCCGAACTTAAGTGACCAAAAAACGATCAGAGCTTACATTATCAATCAGTCGGGTTTTTTCTTAACTTCCAGATCCTTATAGCAATAATTTTGTGACCAAGCGCTTCCTCTGAAGCACGTGAAACAGCACTTAATTTTTGGTCAACTTACTAACATAAGGTCAACTCAGAAACACCCATAGTCTTCGTCCGCACGGTGCAGATTTGGGAAGCGGCCAGACATAATCTAGCGGCCGTGGTATGCTGTCTGAAAAAGTCCATGTTGCCCGTCAATGAACCTCGTGCCTCTTCGGTAGCACACAGTCCGTGCCGTATCCGTGTCCTCACGGCCGATTCCGGGACCGTATTCATGGAGAATTCTGGTATTGAGCTGGCTTCGTGCTTTCAAACCCAAACTTAATTTTTCGGTCTTTGAGTCTGGCCGATATGTTAGTGGCAAGTGAATATGTGTTTCAAGGAGGGGATTGCTAACAGAAGTTTAGATAGATCAAGCTGGTCAACACAGACACACATTTTTGTCCAATTACAACTGTCTATTGCATAGTGTTCATACATCACCAAGACTATGCCTTGCCCTTCTATTCGCGCATTTGAACGACGCACGACAATGGGATCATAAACTGACCAGTATAGGGTTGTTTACTGCCTGTAATTAGTAATATAGGACTTTCTTCTGCAACCGACGTTAAGATGTGCACCGCAAAACCTGTGATGTTAGCCACGCCATCAAAAAACGTCTACACTGACATCGATCGCAGCTCTTAAATGAGGCATTGGCCTGATTACTTAGACTGATTGTAAGACCATCTCGAACCAGGTTTCTGGCAAACCCTCTGTGTTAGAGTCGGAAACATTTTGCAGTGCCCATCACCTTAGTGTTACATGAACCATAATTTGGTACGCGCAGTTAGGAAAAACAGGTGATGTCTTCATCCCACTGCCTACCGTTCACGCAGTTGGCGTCCCATTTTGTCACTGCCAGCAGAGCATCAACATTGGGGGATGTGATGCGCATTCTCGCCCCCTCCTCTTCACCCCAACTGGTAGACCGACCTCTGTCTTTACCATCCGGGCAACTTATAGCGGGCAGGCTGTGTCGGTCGCCAAGAGTTTTTTTGGTGTTATCAGGGGTGCGTGGTGAATTTAATTAGGCTTCGGGAGCGATGCAAATTTTCCGATACCTAGATCTCACGTCAACTTTTAGATGCATTTCCAGCAGGCAACACAGCAGGAGCAGAAATAATTTATCTAATGGCGGTTCATGCCTGCCATGTCACACTGCCGTCCGAGGACTGCGCAGAATGTTATGCGCCAGCCGCTTTGCCAAACAAAAAAACTCCCGGGCATGCGTATTTGGCCAGGCGCAAGACGGCGTATTTCGTTGCTGACTGTCTTGGACAGGCAGTCCGTTGTCTGTTAGCTACATACTGGCTGCGTCGTCAGGAGCTAGGACCGTCTTTTCGGATTTCAAGTTTTTGTAGCTACCAATGGTCAATTTAACAAATGGACTTCATGAATTTTTTAAAATGGAATTAAACGCGTTTTTCGACTTTTATTCATGCATGCAGGGACCTCAGCTGGGGCGTAATTTTATTGACCCTCATTACATAGTGAACCTTACACATAATAAATCTGTTACTCCAGGACACCTTCTTTCGAACAAATTTCTTCCCGGCTGCATCCAAAAACGACACGCCGTAAAAATGACTACTTAATTAGCATGCATTTTTCTCAATGATTTTCGATGCCTTTAAGGATTCAATTATATTTCATCGAAAACATGCATAAAACTATGTATTCTTCTGCTTATTCCGTAGAAAATCACGTCTTCTTTCCACTCATTTCGGAATTTCTGTTGAGCTTTCATGAGTAAGCCCACTTTCTGTACAATGGCGGGCGTGAAAAATATGTTTGCATTTCAATAAATAAGAGTAGGAATGTTTCACTGCGTCAGATGTTCCCAAACGCAATATGGCGAAATAAGGGCTACTTTTCAGCCGTTAAAACCATTTTTCTTTCGTTATAGGCTATTGAGAAATAGAAAGACAAACTTTGCCTTGCTGGTTCCTCCACAAATTTCATCTTTGAGGACTTCTAGACGGTACCAAAACTGATCGTTTGAGGATTTAAACGAAAATACGGTTTACGTTTCCCCAGACGACTGAAGGCGCCTTAGAACGCTGCAAACCTAAGAAATGTGGTTTATTGATTTGGCGTTCGCAGACTATCAGAAGCTGAAGCAGTTTCAATTGGCTTAAGAGTTCACGTATGTACCTTCGTTGTTCATATCGTCACTAGTTTTTTCATCCATTTTAAAACACTCTAGAAAGTTTCTATTTTTGAAAAATAATTCGACTAGAAAACAGCGGCCCATGTGTATACACTGTGCAACCGCAATAAATCCTTATAGGTGTATGCAAAGTAGACTCGATCAAAAGAATTTTATTTTTCTGTTTTTTTGTTTGACATCTTCTTTTCGTGTTGTCCTACTTCTCCTCCAGTGTTTGTTACCTTTACTGATCCGTGAGGTTGCAGTTCCTGATAGAAGAAGAACCCAGATTATTTGCCTCCTCTGCCTGTTTGTTGGAGAACAAGTCAGGTAGAAACATGCGCCTCCAAACGAGGCCTGATTTCATCAATTACTGATAGGCCTCGCATTGTTTAGATATACATAGACCATTGCTGCTTCGTTGAACCCCGACACTGTGTGCCATTTGTGCAGCCGACTTTAGTAATCATGAGAGGACAGTTCGTGATGTGATGCACAAGGGGCTTTTTCCAGACCTCTCTTCATGGGTTTTTAGACCTGGTATGTGACATTTATCTGGTTTTCTTTCTTCGTCAGGTTGGAGTAAATATTTTTAAGAATTCTGCGATGATACCCATATAGACATCGAAAAAGTCAAGTCCGACAAACGTACGCTTTCGATTATTCATCATCATCATCATCATCATCATCATCATCATCATCATCATCATCATCATCATCATCATCATCATCATCATCATCATCATCATCATCATCATCATCATCATCAGACCTATACAGTAATATAAGGACAGAATAGCAAACGTTGAACATCCAATAATGGTCAATATGGGAGACAGGGTTGAAGGGCGCTCAGAAATCAATGGTCAGATTCTAGTTCTGTCTGGGATTTAGGGGGAGGGGAGGCAGATTATATTGATCAAACAACTAGGCGTCTGCCCTAGCGGATGCGGGAGCACCATCCTGCCTGGCTAAACCAAGGGGGGGGGGGAAAGTCCATCTCTAGCGCAATTGTGGCTCACTTGGTTGACAGCGGCCACCGGGTAGACGTCAACCAAGCATTCCGAGACATCTATGAAGTGCCGGGGAGACACTCCAAGTTCCCGCGTCAACGAATACTCGCGACGGCACAGGCAGTGACCATACGTTTAGCCAACCCAGCCTTGTGCTCGCATGAAGCGTTTGTACAGGCGCTAAGGCCCTCCTGGGTAAAGACAAACCCAGCATACATGTTCATACCCGCCACATCGCGTTATACCGCCGAAACACGAACAGATAATCGCCAGACACCTTCCCGCTCCCCCGCCTCCTCCCTAAATCCCAGAATAATTAGAATTTGACTATTGAGCTCTGAACGCTTTTCAAACGTGTCCCCCATTATAACTATTATTGAATGTTCAACTTTTGCTATCCTGTCCTTACATTACTGTATAGGTCTGATGATGAAAAATCGTAAGCGCACGTTTGACGGACTTGTCTCCTAAAGTTTTTAAGGATACTGGTGTGTACCCTGTTGACCTTCTCCATAAATCGATTCGTTTTAAATTGCACAACAAGAGGATGCAGAGGAAAATTGGGACTTTCCGTTCGTAAACAACGGTCATTATAGGGTTTTTTTTAAAAAACAACTGGATCGAGCTTACTATTTTAATTTTATCTACAATCATCAAGTTGGAAGCGCAAACGCATAATTATTGTGAGCCATTATTTCTTCGAGAGGATTCGCTGTCTTCGTTATTTTCCGACAAGAGCCACAGAATACCTAAAAGGCTAACTGCCTGAGGGTAATTGTCAAGAGTGCGTCCATCTAGCTGAGTGCACTTGCAAGACTTGCAGGCGTACTTCAAAGACCTTGAACTGCTACAGCGTCAGCCAGTGATAGTAAATGCGCGCTGGCTTGCGTGAGAGCGGTGACATAAGGCTGTAATGTTCTTAGAATCATGGCATTTGAAAGAGCGCTTTTTTCGCACTGAAGATAGACGGCCGCTGGAAGCGACTGTTCAGCTGATAGGTAAATCCTACGTTCATACTTCCATTACTTATCGGCTATGCCTAATGTCTTGCATACTTTCTACGTCCTGTGAACCATTTTGTGCATTCAGCATTGCGTAAGCGTGGATACCTGGAGGCTAGACACTCCTGCAAATGTGAACAAGAAAATACATCATTATCTTCAAAAACCGCGCTGCATACAATGTTATAGAGTGCTCTCATGACGCGTCTTCGCGTCGTCTATACTTTTCCGTAGTTCAAACGTGATCCAATAATTGGGAGAGATACCTGATCCCTGTAAGGTGGAAAACAGAATGGTAAGACCGGTAAGTTAGCAACCCTTCTTCGTAATATAGGCGATTTGGCGCTAAACTCCCGGGGGGTATCTATTACCGCACACTAACACCAACCCAAACCCAAACCTTAACTTTTCTTTATCCCTAAACTTAGACCTTGCTGAACTCTAACACTGTCCTTGCATAATCGTAACCTTCACCCTAGCCCTGATATCCCTGGAGTTTATCTCAAGGCCACTTGTATTATGGGGACTCTTATTCCAGTGTCTTATCGGTAGCTAAATGGGACAGTGATCAGCTGCTGCACATTAGCACAGAGGTTTGCTCATTAGCAGAAGCAAAGTGGTATCCGAAGAAGAAGAAGAAGAAGAAGAAGAAGAAGAAGAACAAGATGAAGAAGAAGAAGAAAAAGAAGAAGAAGAAGAAAAAGAAGAAGAAGATGATGATGATAAAGAATAAGCAGAAGAAGAAGATGCGATCGATTCAACAAGAGAACAACTTTTTGGTAGAAGGGACACTAAATATCTCAACTCAGGGATCGAGAAGAGCTTTGATCACAAATTCACTTCCGATATCCAACAAATCAGTGGTTTCCGGTTACCGAGTCTGCCGTCCCGCAGAAGTGAGAAAGGCGAGAAAGGCCACGGGGAGAGCCAAGGAGTCTATAATGCCTAGGTGGACGTGACTGGATTTTGCGTCGGAACTGCGAAGAATGTCGACTGGGGCCTTGTTGTGCCGTTGACAACCTAGGTACGGCTGTGCCCAAGCACTCAGACCCTCTTGAATGCCAGAAAGAATGCACCGACCAGAGATATGCTTGACGAAGACGCGACACACCAAGGGAGAGAGGTTATTCGTGGCAGTGAAGATCATTTAATGGAGGAATGGAGGCGCGATGTGACTGTGGGAGGCGGTGTTCGTGTCGCAGAAACTGACACTCACAGCAGGCCACGCTGTAGATGAGTAAGACCAAAACGCAACCCAGACCGGGCTACAGTAGGCGTTAACCAGACGGTGTAGTGTTCACGCCAGCGCATAACTACTGCCGCACATAAGGTATGTGGTTGCACGCCAAAGCGCATGCTTCACGCCGCGCCTGTCACTGCGTCCGATTCTAGCGCCAGATGGCTGACAGATCCGGACAGCCAAGTGGTGTCTGGGAGATGGAGGGCATATTGCGGTCAGCTTAGATGACTCAGCGCACCTGTTCACCATATAACAGCTGACTCACTTGGATTGATTATGAAGTGCGAAATGTCACGATTTGGAGGACTACCAACTGACGGGCTAACCAATCTTTCTAGGACTAACGATTAGACCCAATAACTTTTTCTTAATATGACCTCTGTGACACTACAGCTTATGTGGCATCCGAGTCGTCCTCTATGAAAGTAGGACACGTTCTGCTGAGACCAGACCCTGTGTGGCACGCGTAGACAGGCCGTTAATTTTTGTCAGCCACCGAGTCTAATCCCATCCCGGTCGCTCTGACACTGTCTTGCCATCGGAGGCAGGCGGAGAAGATAGCAGAGAGATCAGCTGATGTTACGCTAGTCTGCCTCAGCGCACGCTACGTCACTCGCCAATCAGCGTCCTGCAGCTGCTCCGTTTGGGACAGTAAAACTGTTCCCACAGAAACTGATGTCATTGCCAGTAGTCAAAGGGGAGGCTTGGGACTGGAGACCAGAGGTGTCTCCGTAACGCGAGGGGAATTAACATGACGTTGTTCTGCAGTCACGACTGTAAGATCGACCCCGGTAGTAGATGTCTTGGACAGCAGGCCAGTCGTCTTATTCCGTGATTCGTCGATATTTTAAATATCATAGATGTCCTGGAAGAGGTAGACTAGTCGGTAGACTTCGCGTAATTCAGCTCGTCAAAATTGGAGGGGAGAACGAAGGAGGGGGTTTGTGGTCAGGGAAGATAGTGAAGTTCTTGTCCTCAAAGAAGCGTTGGTGGTGCTCAACGTCTAGCTAGACGGCCAGAAGATTCCTTTCTAACATGCTTCAACGCGATTTGATAAATGAGGGATTTCTATGAAGTAGGGCTAAGATTTGGGTCTGACTTGCGAGAGGTTGTTGGAGAACTGTGCCGACTGAACATTGGAGGAGTCTAGATGAGAGAAGTGTACATCGACAGCAGAATGGGTCAGGCGAGTCGGTTCAGTAAAGGTGGTCCTCAGCTCTTCAAAAGCAAGGAGGACGCCTGTGATCTCAAGAGAGGGGTGGATGCTGATTGAACGACTATATATCCGAGAGCCTAGAGGGGGAGCATTAAAGGTAACCCTGGACTCGCTAAAATGACCAAGCACCTTAAAAATGTTTGTTTTTTCATCGACGCTATTGCTGACCAATACGGAGGACGTCGAAATAGTATTAGTTAAGGGTAGGCGATTAATCATTCTGTCCACGAGTCTCTGGAAGAGTAACTAAGCGATGTGGAGTTCCAAGGGTACGTGTAGCACCTTAAAATGGTTAGACGGGGTAGTTAGGCTGTCATTGAATTGTATTCCGGATAATGGGGATCTGGCGGAAGGTCAAGACTAGATTGACGTTAGAGAATATAAATTTACGAAACATGGTTTCGGCAAAGTCCTGAAGCTGTCAAGGGGTTTTTCGAGGTCCAGCAATCATCTTAGGGACGCCGATCACGCCGATAGTGTTGGGGGTCATTTGGAGAGGCAAGGTAAAGTGAATTTCCGATTTCTGACCGAAGGATGATGTCCTGCTCCAAGTGGGCACAGACAGCGACGGAGAGGCAGGTCAGAGACGATGGGGTCGCATAAAAACTGGAAGACTACTGGTGAGGAATAGATAAACCATATCCTGCGATTGAGTAACGGCGTTTAAGTTAGGACGAATAGTGTTGAGGTATTTGACGAGGAGCTGTTAAAATGGACTAGCCGAGTCGGGGTATGGGATGAAAAGTTGATGGAAAGTCTCAGGGGAAGGGATAACCCCCGTTGCGAGTCTGGTGGTCTGATCGTGAAGACGGAACTGTGGACAATCCACCAGAACATCGGAAGCAACAAGGGAGTCGGCATCGAGAAAGGTGTATGGGACGTCGCCGACGACGAAACCCAAACGAAAAAGGAGCCAGAAGCCGATGTCAGTGGATAGGGGACAGGGAACAAAAGTGATGACTGGGAAGGTTTGGATTGCCCACAGAAAAAATCTGAATTGGGGCAGCGACGATTGGCTGTTGTTGGACGGATGACAACGAGATGGCACCGGTGCCAGTAATGAGTCGCCAGTCATTCCTTCTGTCACTGACAGAGAAAGTGCGACTGATGTCAGTGGGACCAGGTGGATTTACCGCAATCACTATGTCGACAGCAGCGAGAATGTGAGTTTCAGGGACCAGTCGAGAAGACAGAAACGCAACCGCCGTAATAAGAGCATTAATTGACTGAATTTATATTTACACTAAAATCCCTCACTTGAGACTGTATCAGATAAGCGTAGCGTTAGCACAAGCGCTACAGTACGCATAGGATGTAGTTACCATGTCATTGCACACCTATCAAAGATGGCGGTTGCTGCCTTCATCACAGATGGCTGTACGTGAGGCACTGATTGCCGAGCACGCAGCAGTGAGAAGAGTGACGTTAGCAAGTGGACCGCAGTTCATTCGATGGGACCCGGCTCCACCCTTAAGTTTGACAAGGTCATAATTATCGTGAGAGGTGATCACGAGCTGCTGGAGTCGTGGTTCTCCTGGTAGATAACAACAGACGGAAGGGTCTTGGCGATTTTGGGGAGTTTGATCGCCCTCCATTTGACATTAGGGGAATAGGAATCTGACTCAGTAAAAAGAAGAATAACGTTCAGGTGCTTTTGATGGAATTCGGGCAAGACACACGAAATGCGCTCGGAGGATTGACTAGGGAATTCAGGTAACGGCGAGGCGTCAGACGTTACGGTCATGAGGTAGGGAACAAAGAATACATCCGCGACATGAGCGCCAGGAGAAGAACGCGCAAAACGAGACAACACGCAAGACTGATCAGCAGTACATATACAACGAAGGTTATCGGCATGGCATAAGGAAGTCACCAACATAGTTTGCCCGAATAACGACTTTTCGGGTCATTTGTGCCCGTCCGTAGTTAAAGCCAGGCCTGTCGATCTGAAGAGCTATCAGAGCGCCCTAAGAGGGGAACTGGACCAAGTGAGCTAATGATAATCCTAACACTGTCTCTCAAAAAGAGGATTTTCAACCTTAAGAAGAATCCAATTTGATGCCCTAATGTATCGTTATGGAAACACACAATCTAACTTTATTCACTTTGACCCAACTGGGAAAAACTCGGTGACTCGGTGGGCTTCGACCCCACGACAGCAAGAGGACGTTTTAGTACTGCCAACGCTCTTAACCATCTGAGCTACGAGGTCCCACCTCTGAATTACGTGAGCCTGGTATGCATCTGGTGGATTCTAGATGTATTACTTAGGAAATCCGGCTTGAGCAGTCAGCTTCCTGTATCAGAGTTGATGGATTCCAGACGTTGCAGTAAGTTGAGCGGGTAAACGTGACACAAATGTGATTAAACTTGCGTCTTCCTGTGGGGCCTCGTAGCTCAGGTGGCTGGAGCGTTGACTGTACTTAAGCCTCCCCGTACTGTCGTGGGTTCGAATCCCATTAAGGCACCGAGTCTTTCACAGTTGGGTCAAAATGAAGTATTTGAAATCTGCCAAAACACCTCTGAATCTAGCTCTAGATTGGTGAGATAGTTGATTCTCTGTACATAGTTCCCATTCGTCAGATACAAAGCTACCTTGTTCGGAAATTCTGGATTGATGAAATAAACAAAAACCCTCGTATAGGCCGACTGGTTCCTCTCCTCTTTCTCCGCTGTGACTAGATCTACTGAGCAGGTAGTGTTAGCCGATTTCCTGAGAAACGTACCATGCGGATGCCGTAGGTAAACAAAAATTTAATCTAGAGATCAAGACTACTATGTTCGTCTTGAACTAGTGCCTAACACATGAATAGGTCAATGAGCGCATGCATGTCCCTACCACGTGGAAGGCATTTGTTTTGCATCAACTTAAATTCGTTTCGGCATATCGGCAAAAGAGGTCAGTACCTGCAAAGTTTCTTTTTATTTTAACTCCGTGTTTTTGTTTTAAGGTAATTCCGCATGCATTTTCCAATTTCTGCGTACTGTTTACCCTTTCCACAATATATAAAAACATTGCTGTCCGCCAAGGAAAATTAGAATCATTGCAGTGGCCATTTATGCCAGACAGACGAACGGCCAGAGCCTTGCCGATGACCAGTTTAGTAATCTTCCTCGGATGACACAGAATAGTGCAGTCTCAAATGTACTTTAGAATGGTTATTCCAGTCGAATACCCTAGGGTTTAAAACAGGTAGACAACGTAAAATCTACTTATGCTCAGGGACAAAATTGTACCTAACCTTGCCTGATGATAGGAAGGTTCCTCACATTCTGCATTTGTAAAATACCCATAGTGAACACCCACAAATATTCACGCTATGAGGCAGAACACGGTTCCTGCGTTGGTAGCTGCCCCATTTCTGCACAAACAGAAGGAATGCAACAAATTTGAATAAACTTGCGACAGAGGGTGTCAGACTCCTTTTTGGGTTAAATAAAGGATAACAGGTTCATCGAAGTTAGTAGTCGGGACTGCATTTTGCCTGTTAACCAAGTTATCAAAATTATGAAATATGGTGAAGTTATAAATCTAGAACATCTCATAGATCAAAGTCTTCGGACCTCGTAGTGCACTTGTTGGTTACACACCCCTAACAGTAGTACTTGCAAGTCACCATTCACCACATCTATCCTCAGCAGTATCTACGACATGCATGACCACACCCAACACCACACAACTCAAGAACATAATTGGGACCTCTCACGTAAGTGGGAAGTGTGTTCCTCGGCTCCTTCTCCGTGTGGCGCTTCTGTTGCATGCGTTATCTTGTTGTGAGGTACCGGACTAATTCACCTTTAACAATTTAGTCCCGTTTTCTTTGCCCGGATTGCTTGTTTGAATGTGACGAAAAAAAACACACCTGGACAACCCGCCTTGCTGGCTTGATTTGCTGTCGCGCTCTGTTGTCAGGTTACTTAGCGTTCAGAATCTCTATATTATTCACTGCTCAGTTTTACTTGCTGCGTTTAAGGTTAGGGGCTCGTGAGATGTAACTCGTTAGTTCGCGAGAACATTACCATTTACGTCAATCTAAGCCTGTGTGACTGTTACGGTGCGGTAGGCGTCGTGGCTTAGAAAGTTGTCAACTGACGAGCTTACTCGGACCTCGTAGTCTGCCCAGTGTGCGTTTATGTGCAGTATCCGATTTGCGGACTACGATGGCTCCTTCTTAGTGGACCTCTATGACACTTCCACTCCGAGGGCTCCGAGCCGCCGCCCCCCTCCCTTCTTATGTAAAATCCTAGTCAGTGTACGTTGTGGGCCAGGAGGTGTGGTGGTGCGAGCTCGCGCCGTGCCAGCCACCTGCGTCCTCTCCCTCCTCTCCGGTCTTCTGGACTCTGTCTTGACACCGGGCCCAAGATGGGGAGGCAGAGGGGGCGCAGGAGGAGGAGGAGGAGGCGTGAGTGAGCTAAGTAAAGTTAGCGTAAGTCTACTACTACCTTATACTAATTCACGCGCAATTCACCGTCCCTGCTCTCGCCCTGCCGTGTGACATGCGGTGGACATCGTCAACACCGACGTTCGAACTGCCACTCGCAAGCCAGTGTGTATCTCATCGGTGTGTCGGGTGTATTCAGCAGTGTTCTCATCAATGATCTTTAATGAATCTAATAGGACCATTTTTTCGTCTCAGACTGTGAGCCCCTCTCCCTAAGTGTGAACTGACCTTCGCAGCAAAGCTTCTGACCCGCGCCTAGCCTTCCCTGCATACGATTCCAGTTCTCTAGGGTAGCTGCTCTGAAGAATGGTCACGACTGCCAGCCGGGACCTTACAATAGGCTTGTTTTCGGGGATACTTACGACAATTCCTCTATTTTATTTACATCTCACTGTCCAGAAAGTGCATAACATTCCTCACAGGACAGCGGTATTTATGTTGGAGGCGTCCACAAACGGAAGAAAATGTGTGATGATTACAAAATTCTACTGTCTCTTATAACGGCCTTTTAAATGTGACATCGAACCGCCATTATTCTAATGAAAAACCCGCCTTTATTTGAAGCTACTACTGAACCCGTCCTTTGCCTCGTTTCCAAAATCTCAGAAAACTTATTTGTTTTCATGAAAATAACTTTTCCAACTGAGCAGCTATTTTTCCTATCCATTTAATTTCAGCAGCTTTTTCGATCTTACGCGTGTACCTAACTAGTTCTGGCGTCCACAGTGACATTTAGTTCTTTGTTGTTCGGTTATTATATGACCTCTTTCCTTGATAGCGTCATTACGTTCTCGAAAGTTTTGATGTACAATTGTATCTGCATGGCCCAAATATCCATGAGCGTCCAAGAGACGCGCATATACACTTTGCTGCCGTTTTGTCTATATATGATGATCATGCGTGCTTTCCTGCGTCAATTAAACGGCTGGGTACTGTTCGGCGACTAACATATCTGCGTGGTTCAGCAACCGACGCTGTGACCACAACGAGGAAGACTGTCGTCCAACTAAACTCCTCATGGCATCGAGTAGAGTTGTCGCTAACGCATTTGAAGTGGTATCTATATTGAGTAGGACTTTTGAGACAGTAATCATGCTCAGTCATGCGCACTCGGTGTGTTTGACCTACAGACATCGCTCACACCCTAATGCCACTCCCTCTGCCTACCCCAGCCCCAAGGACGTCAACGCGCCGACCTCGTAACGCGGGCGACATGTGAACAAGAAGTGTGACTAAGCCCCTGAGATGCTTATAAATCCCGCCACGATTCATATTTTCGTTCTCCAGGCAACTGTATTTGGCTTGAGGATGACTTACTAAACCATATGTTTACCAATTCGAATACCGCTTGCGTTTTTATTATGCCTCACTTCCACTAAATTAAGATTCGTCTGTCTATGCTTTGTGAATTTTTCGGCCATCTCCTGCTATAAAGGTGCAATGCATACCAGTAGAAACTCAAGAAAAGGCCGGAGATCCCAAATTCAAAGTGAATATAATTTGCAGGGTTGCGATTGTAATCACCGTATACAGTATGTTTTCATGAAGTGTTCTGTCAGGAGCCCGGATGACTACTATTGTGTGCAAATATCCGGGTAAACTGGAGTAATTGGATAAAAACAGGTTATGAAAGATGACAGGCTTGGTCCGACAGGTTTTTAAAGGCTGTCGGTCCAGGTTTCCAAAAACAGTTAAAAATGTACAAATTTTCAATATATTTTAGATGACTACAAATTTAATACAAGGGTATGTGAGGATCTGAGTTAAGAATGCACTCCTGAGAAACGACGGGGATTTCCCGTGAAGTGAGCCAGTCTTCGCGTGACGGAATCCTTTCAGGGTGATAGGGATCAAAACCAATATCCGGACTCTTTTCAAATAATTCATTCTTGCGGAAGTACACGATGAGGTTCATTACGCCCAACAGAACAAATACGATGATCCACTAGAATCCAGAAAAGTAAGTATTTCCATTAAAAATCGGCAGAACTGCTCATCTTTCCAAAGCACAAATTTTGAAACTTGAACACATGCACAAACAGCTGTCTCATACTTCAAAAAAGTGGATGGCATTTCAAAGAATTTCAGAGCTTAGCATCTTTCATCTGCTCTCAGTTGTTCTATTAATAAGGTGTTGTTCGTTTGCAAGATAGATGAATATTCCACCCCACATGCCAGAACCACGGCATTCAAGCACGACACAGACACAAGACGGTAGTAACCTCCGCCAGTTTGTTAATTAAAAGGTTCAGTATTCTCTCCATCTGGACAACAAGAAAAGACACTTTACATCTGATGAGTTGTGACACTCATCGAAGATCCTTAACACTAAACATTCCCATTTATCTATCTTGTCCTATAATTCCTCGCAAACACTACGGGGTGTGTACTGCGGAAAAGACAAGTCCGAATGTTGATAATGACTAAAATAATAGGGTGTTTTGACAGATTCGAATAACTCATTGAACCCCATTGTGAGAACTCGGCGATGTTTGCTGTTGTGAATTCGAATCCCACCGAGGCCGCCGAGTTACTCCCAAATGAGTCACCTGAGTTATTCGAATCGGCCCAAACCTCCTACTAATTAATTGCGCCTGGAGGATTCTAGATCGATGGCTAAAGACATCCTGCATGGGCAGCCAACTTACTGTCTCATAATTGGTGGATTCCGTACGTTGCAGTAGGCTGGGCGGATAACTTGACCCAAGTGTGACTAAACTCACGCCCCCCGGTGGGGCCTCGTGGGCCCGAATCGCACCAAGGCACCCGAGCTTTCACATTTGGGGCGAATGAATGACTGAATTAAAATAGCCTATGTGCGTATTCTAGGTTTCCGCGTGAAAAACAAAAGTCAATCCTACAAACATCCATTAACCCTGATGAGGAGAAACGATTCCAGTTAACTTATAATACCCTGCCCTGAAAACACCTTAATCCTAAGAGGCTTGTGTCAGTGGCACCTTAAGACGAAAATAGGTGTTTGAGAGGAGAGAAGCCGGTTTTAAATTTTTCAATTTCCGTAAACGTCTTCTTACCGATTTCTGTGATTTACCAAACTACGATTCTTTCATATGCGTAGACTTTAAAGACAATTGAAATATCGATGTTGAGTAGAAAATAGATAATAGTGGCCCTCGCACTCTTTTCTTATCAGAAAGCATTGTGCATTCCATCAGTAACGAAACTACGTAGAATTCGATCCCAATATTAAAATACAGCTGTCAAGTGTTGATCGAGTAAAGCGGATTCTAAACCATGATTGTCTGAAAGATTTCTTTTAGTGGGATCTAGCGCACTGTTAGTAAGCTACCGAAAACAATTTTGATTACGTACGTTTAAAGCCAAAGCTCTTAATATGAGTGGTAACATAACTTGAACAAAAGGTCAGGTCGTTTCGTCAAAGAAAATTTTCTGTACATTCGGGTAACCATTCTTGGCCCGCTTATCGTACTTCCCTGGTTGAAATGGTAACCAGATGTAAGTGTGGATTTCGGTATTAATAAATCTGGTGTTTCCCTGACGATTCCCTCGTCAAAACAATGTAAGCATATATATAACCGCAAAATTTTCACTTACCTCCAAGATAATTACTATGAAAGACTCCGCGGTAAACTTGTACCAGTCAGGATTTTGGCTTATACTTTCGTACGCCCACCAGGCAATGAGTCCAACTGCTTCAATCGGCACGAGGACGCTAAAAACAGAGTACTTATTTTATCATATTTTGGTTTCGAACCTCGTCATAATACAAAGGTCATAGTACTGCCTACGTCGATCTCAAGTGGACACTGTAAAGGAGGTGCGTGGCCTGTCTTAGTCCTTTGGTCGCGAACTTACTACTAATTTTCTATGCTGGAATATGACATTTAATTATGTATTCAAGAGGATTTTGTATTGGTTAACAGCACTGAGAGATGTACGACGGAATAAGCTTTCCAACTTATAGCTGGTTTAGGTTACTTCTGAAGGAAACAGTTTAGTGCAACCCCAAATAACCCAAATGTTTCGTTGCACTCACGTGATAACTGCCACCCAGGGTATGTGAAGTTTAAGATCGCCAATTCCAAAGTCATTAACGATCACCTTTCGGTAGCGCATGGGTTTGTAACGGATCACGAGGAAGCAGTAGCACAGACCAGAAATCATAAGGGCGAAACCCCATACGAAATCCTATAAAAAAAATAATTTGCCCACATTGACAATACGTAAATACAGTACATTAGTAAAAAGCCTAACTAAGTCTAAACAAACCTGATTCGTCAAAGCACGCAGGTCAATCGCTGAGGGAACTCCCACGAGAAAGGTAACGATAAGGGAGGCAATCGTCGCATAAGTTCTCCTGACTTAATTAAAAAGAGAAACTTTTCAAATATGTCGTTTGCAGAGTATTTTTTAGATTTCACTTTAAAAATAAACAGTTTGGAAAATCTGTGTACCAAATTAAACGTTAAAACTCCGGCCGAACAAGAAGCACAGTAAAGATGCCCATCTGTTAATTGCAACCCCTCACTTTTAAACCTTTGGATATTTGCGTCTTATTCTCCAAATGGGCTAATTCGAATACATGTCTTGTGAATATCATTGCCTCTCTCTCTTTAAGAGGAAAAATACGTAAATAAATGCACCGAGTGTTTGGTGCGGACCTAATATAAAGAATATTTTTGGAAGAAGTTCCAGATCCTTTTCAATTTCCTAACTTATAGCGGTGCTCCAGTACACTGGTTTGCATCTCAACTATCAGGGAACAATTTACCGAAGTTTATCGCGAGTGACTAAGTGCATTGTGCTGCAATGGAACGGCATATACGTTTCATTTGGCCTAGGGACATAAGCCCGATGAGCCCGTTTATTCTGATGCAAGAATTCTCGCATAAGGCATACGTAGTCTGTTTCAAAGTATAGCATGGCGAATTCACTCAGATGTAGGTTGTGTCCGTGCAATTAGAAATATTTATGCATTTTCGATTAGACAACGCTTTTAATGCCCAGATTACACTCTTGAAGTGTAAAGCTACAAAACGCAAGCTTCCGTTGTCGGAGAAACGTTAGGCCAGATATACGGAGACAGGTGAACAGTTACTTTTGTGTGAACGCAAACACGATCTAGAGCAGAAAGTGAAGAATGACATTGCCAAAATATTACTGATTGGCAATATGCTTTACCTCCAAAATCCTGAATAGTTCTGGCCGTGAGTTCAATGTAGGAAATCATCGAGGTTATACCGGCGAATGACAGGCAGAGAAAGAAAAGGCCGCATAAAACGCGTCCAAAGGTCCCCAATTTTGCCATCAGCACTGGAATCCTGAACGCAAATGATAAAATTTTATAAGTGACGGTTTCTGGTCTACTTAATCAGGTAAATAAACATCAACTATCTATTCCTCAGGCAGTGCAGTTAGCAAGCTGATAGTAATCGAGTTTGTTTTGCAAGGTCAACGGACGTACATTTTACTAGATAGTCAAGCCGGCTCACTTTTCATATAACTAAGAGATCTCTTTCATTCCAGTTTTCGCAAAATGAAGTCTAAGCTTCTGGTTTGGAAACGTCGCGTCTTGAAAATGCGTGTGCAGAGGAGCCAAAGTTCAGATTTCTGACATGCAGATATCCTTTTTGGCATTTTGAAGCGAGTGGCCATCTAACGGTCAAACGCGAATGTGAAGTTCTTTTCCGAAAAGTCTGTAACGTGAATGTCTTGGCCGGAGATGTACAGTTTCTGGACCTGGTAAATAACGCCGGTCAAACCACTTGAATTATATTCCATTGCCATCTGACAAGGCCACTCAAATATTACAAAATAAGAACCGTACGTTGTCTATATCTTCCACCTTCTTGGGGAGTGATAACAATTCTGAGCAATAAACACGTGAAAAACACTAACCATGTAGCCAGTGAATATTAAGAAGCACGTCAATAAGCGTTAGCAGAACATGATAAGAAAGTGTTAGCAATTACTGCATGCCACTGACCCTCATGTAAAGTAAAAAGATCAGATCATAAATCCGCTGTCGAAACTTTTGCTGAATACAGAACTGAGGAGTAAATAGATCAAAATAATATCTGTAATTAGGAAATAAACCCCCTCCTAATTGTGACTTTCACTTTTGCATGGCGGGAGGCGAAATTGCACAGGAGTGAACGGGTCACCTAGTTAAAAATAACACGGGTTGTTGACAGGACAAAAACTCTTCAAGGCGGCTGTCCGGCGTTTGCGCGGGTTTATCGTTTCTGCGCATGACCATGACAGGCAATGCCCGATTGCCAGTATCTCTGCGTAGAGTTTGTCCAGATTGCAAAACAGGAGGCCACGCATACTTAACAGGCCTTTGTGCAAACAAATATTTTCTGCTCAAATGCGGTTGCATGAAATATTCCGACAAGAAGGGACTTCATTTCCTTCGTCGTCTTAAATAATAAAACGTGTCGTGTTAGACAAATCCTACCAGAAGTTCGTTAGGCGACTCCCGTATTTCGTAGGATTTACTAGACATTGATTAACTGAAATACACAGTGTACGGTAGTTTTGAACATTTTTTCACGGCGCAATGTCAGACATCACAGGATTTTAGCAGGTTCATTGCACGGTAACTGAGGAAGCTGCCAACAGTCAGCTGTAATTTGGAAAAAATTTCAAACTCTGTATCGCAGGCAAAGGGTTATTTGGACACTCGCGTGGCAGACCAGTCAACTTCCTCGTAACGACATTCTCAACAGTAGTTCATTTCACTTCAGAGGGATGGAAAGGCTTTCAGTGAGGAAGAAAAGTTTTACGGAGTGGGTCGATATGCCGCGTATCTGCACGACAGTGGAAGGCGCATAGCTTGTGGCGGCCAGATGTCGGAAAAAAGGCAATGCAACATGAAGAAAACTGAGCATTCCTGCAGAGCAAACCTTTAAAAGCATGCAATCTGGACAGTCCCCAGTTCTGACATTGCTCATACATTCAGATAGCCATACTTTGTTACTTTTTTAAACAACTAATCCACTACCAGGAAGTCGGCTTCAGTAGCATGCATTACACATCAATGCTTAAAAACCTTGAACCAGAATCATTTAACTGCAATCAAAACATATCTCTAAGTAGTGTTTTCACATGTTTGGGCAAAAATAATTTTATTTGCTTTTGTGCATCGTAAAATTATATATTTCGGCTGATAATATTTCAAGTTGCTTGTGTAGATCTCACCCGAGTAAAGCTTTATGATCAGGTATGCATTATTCTACTTGTTTTACATGCCTGCACAAACGCAAGCACGACTCCAGAAAGTTACAGGCAAATATCTCAAGTGGGTGCGTTAATTTCGTTGTCTGTATCTTCGTATAATCTATCGGCTAAAAATATAAAGCTTGTTTTCGTTGGCAGCATGGTTCAGTTCCCTATGACATAAATAATCTCGCCATTTTAAGGTGTTGTGATATGACTAGTTTTGAAACACAACCGTCAGTGTTTAAGTCTCCTCTGATGCAAGTTTTCTGATGAAAAATTGAAGAGGTTTCGAGGACCTGAACAATATTGTTATTACATGTGTTTATCAACGCGGCTCATTTTTTCAACCGAAGATCTCAGAAGCCCGCATGTTTTGAATTTGTTTCCAAGAGAACAACGCTACGTGCTCGGGTAACCAGTGTGAAGTACGCAATTGTCTAGAAAATAAATATAACGAAAACAATCGCTACTACTAACTTCTAAAAAAGCCTGCTTTCGGTTCTGAAAAGTAAATTTTCATTTCTGGCGGATTTCTGGGGGTGAGATCAACACAGGCGGCCAAGAAATTTCTCGCCGAAAGGCCAACATGCGTCTGCGCATGAAGTAGTTTCAAACCCTGTTCCACTTTTCGCCGCTATTTCAATCCTGCCCTGGTAACTACTTACTTTGAACAAAGCTGATGATTTTGGTCGATTTTACATGTTTCGGCATACACTATGCATACGAAGCTCACTCTGCCGAAAATTAATGCATCTTATACACACCAGATCACACACACATGTAGGCACACCGATATTGACACACACAGAGAGAGACGGTCATGTTCGCATCATAAAGAGACACGTCTGAGTTGTAGGAGAGCATGTTAGTGCGACTGATTAAGAATAAACCCTACCAATCGCAATCTTAATGCGTCGAAGACTGCCTGATGTTGGTGGGGAAGGCTGCAGCTTGCAGCTTGGGCCGAATCACAAGCCCCATGGGTCGTAGCCTGATGGAGATGAAAATTTTAAACGCAGTTAATCGAATAGAAAGATTTTAATCTTCAAACAGAAAATCTTGTCACTGTCGGCTAAAACGATTTCTAGCCAGGTGCACACCCTATGGACTCCTAGTGGGACTGCGTGGACAACATTTCATCACATCTAATGAAATGTTCCGTCTAGCATCAGGCTAATCCCTAGTCATACAAACGCATGCGCACCAGCAAACAGGCACTGTAAGACTGTGATCTGTTTTCACATTTTTAGAAACGATGAATAAGCCTCTTCTGGATTACTTCAAGACTGTCTCTAAACTGCATTCGATAACGATGGGGTGTAGGACCCCACATAGCTGGCAACTCCAAAATATACACTACAATTCAGTGTGGCTTATTGTTACTACTATTCATGGTTTCTATTGGTTGAAATTGCCCTGCCTTCTTGACTAAATGTAAACTTACCAGCGGCGGTTTATTCAAAATCCGTTAATTTTTGAAAATTGCTTTTCGTTTATTTTTTAATTATCGCGCTCACTTTCTTTGCCAAATAACAGCGTATGATAAGACTTTTGGTAGAAATTTATCCAGTTTCTATGTCTTCTTGCATTCCATCCGCTCTCCGTCCTGCGCGTTGCCCCACTCGTAAAACCCCCTCTACCACTATTCAACATATGGCACGGTCCACAGGCTAGCTCAAGTTGGTTTTGGTCCTACACTTACCGTTACCCTGCGTTCCGTTGTCATTTGAAGGTAAATATACCTTTCTTAACTAAATACTGAATGTCCGTATTTCAGTATTTACCATACTGACGGCACAGATACTATCTAAAGGCCCAGACACGTGTTTTGCCGATATACTGCGGCTGCATGACACAGCCGCGAGAAGTTTGGCTCTTCAGGGCGCCTTCCAGCGTTCTCCGCGCGTTTTCTGGTAAGTGCTCCAGTCCTGACATTTCAGCCTTTTAATTATGTGTGTGACTTTTTCTCAAATTGCCTGTCGTACGCATGGCATCTTTGATCGTCTTCTTATAGAGAGCAGACTCACCAAGTAAATGTGAGACCTGTACTTCCGGGGCCAGTGTCCTTCATGATCCCAACGATTTGTGGAATTGTCAGTGTAGGCTCGGTCGCGATTAGCGTGGAGAAGACCGTGGCAAATATCATGAAACCGCAAACCAGGCTGTAAAAGAGCACGCAAATGAGAGATTATTTAGGTCCTCCCTGGTGTTCATGCAAAGTTATGTTGCGCAATTACACTGCGCAGTTCCACTCGCCTGACCAGATTGTTAATCATTGGTAGAAACATCCCAAAGCGAACAGCGCCAGTCTTCCGGGTAAAGTAGGCCGCGTAAGCCGAGAAAAGACCCATTCCTGCGGCGGTGTCGAACGCATTCTGGCATGCCGCCTCCACATACAACTTTGGGTCGGCCAATGTGTCTGTCGTTAAGAGAGGAGAAAATTAGTAGCTGGGGATGTCAATACAAACGAAAAAAACAAGTTCCGCAGAGCAGTTGAAAAGAAGGAGACTCGATCGTTGGAGAAAAAGAAGTCTCCGATTCAAACTGGTGATGACATTGCAACAAGTACCGATTTAAACTCGACCAGCCGGTCGATCGCCGCACAAGATACGACCATCTGCTAATGGCTGTGATAGCTGCAAATTTTGTAGGCATGAGACTTCATGACAACTGCATCCCATAAATACTGCAATCTCTTGGTCGTCCATTAATTTTAACTGCCTCCATCCTCGTCTATGGGCGAACAAACTTTTTTGCTCCAGCTATTGAGTTTCCTTCTTTTCAGTGAAGAGATGCTTGAATGAAACAGATTGTTTAAAGGTTTAGGTTTATAAATGAGGAACATGTTAGTAGAACTCACGCCAGTTCGGTGTGAACATGAACTGGATGCCAACGTCGGCGTACTCTCGAGTCAGTGACCAAGCAAAAGTGAAGAGAACAATAAAAAGCTGAAGAGGTACAAGACAGCTGTTGGCGATTTCTATGCCCTTGACGCCCCAAAACACGCAGACTCCACAGATAATCAGGCAGATGGTGTGTGTCAGCAGGGGGTAGTAGGTAGACTAGAAAGGAAATCATATAAGTTTATTCTGAACTGCTCTGCAGGTGGAAAACATTTTCATGAACACAAGAAGCAAGGAGCCAGTGGTTGCAAGCACTGTCAAGGAGGTCGACCCGTTAAAATGAAAAAGCCGCATTCATACATCGTGTGTTGCCTGCTCATTCATTTCTTTCATTCTTTCTTAACGTAAACCAACTACGCATACGATCTGCCGCGATTTTCCTTCAAAGAGTTCTCGCGACCCTTTGGTAGATGCGAAATTAATACGTTACAGTTGACCAAAGATGCGAATAAACGGATCACTGTTCATAAACGTTGTAGTTGCTCATTCCTAAGATGACTGCGCTCAACCACTGACGTTTACGAAACACAAATCTCCCATGAAAAGGTAATAAAAAAACGTGTAACTTTTGAGTTTTCGGGGTGAAAGCAACCGTAGGATTACGGTTATATGTGCAGCGATTTGCTCCAAGTGCTTATTTCATTTAAACTCTGCTAGTTGAAAATACGACGTAGGTGTGAGTTCACGCTCCTTCTTCATTCAGTATCGTAAATGTACATTTTTGCTATACCTCCTGAAGTTTACAACATACCGTAAATGTCAAGTTTTAGGCTCGGCGTGTGACCTTTGAAACTTAAAAAGTGGCATCGCTTCACTGTTCTGTACTTTTAGATCAGAAATGCATACCATATTGTGATTAAGCTGCAAATCAAGAGTCATCCCCGTTTTTGCACGAATTATTGGGTCCCCAAGCTACCTCAGGGACATATTATACCTTTTTCCATAATAGTGATTTTCCAGCAACTTTCTACTTTGCTAATACGTTTTAGAATTGCGAAACATTCGTGGTGTGGTAATTGGTTACTTTTAACCGAAGCATTGATTTGGATGATTACCAACGAATTTCAGCGTGAGCACCAACTTTCAGAAAGTGGTAGATATTGCAGGAATGATTTGCAAAGCTAGCACTCACAGTAAACCAGTGAAATATTTCTGCGCTTTCTGTTGGGGATTCTGGCAGCATCGGTTGAGCGCAAGCCAGATAAAAGTAAAAGAAGCACCAGCCCACAACAACAGAGAAGTAGGCGCTAAAAGAGAAAGTGGTAAAATGCGAGTTAATGTGTCTGATTTTTCGAGCCTTGCAAAAATCATGAAATGTCAAAACTGCAACTGAAGAAGCGGTCTTGCCTTATGAAAAATGCCACAGAAGTCACCCAGGCTCCAACCCACAGGAATTTTCGACCGAGGAACTTGTAGAAGGATGTAAGGGGTGATCCCCTTGTAAAACGTCCCATCGTGTACTCCGTAACGACCAGTGGGATTGACCAAGTAAAGAGAAAACAGGCCCATGCGAGGATGAAAGTGAGGCTACCTGTTTTGAGGAAAGTAAAATGTCTCTTTTGAGAGATAAACACTACGGTGTAGCAAGAGGCGAGCCCCCTTGGTCAAGTGCTTTAACAGGTGAAGCTTAATCAGGAGCATGCCGAGTCCTACCTCCGTCAGAGCTTGTCGAAGCCAAAACCCTGGGAAATCGCCAAATATTTCCGGTGCCAAGAACGCAACCCAGACAGGAAAGGATGAGACCACCGGAGAAGGAGAAGGTCTTTTCTTCACCATCACCGGCCACCGACTTCATGGTGGCAATATCCTTTTCAAAAAGTGAAGAAGGCCAGATTAAGGAAACCAAGGATTACACATACGTGTGGGACATGAAGGAAACACACTATAGCTACTGTTCGAGAATAGTAAAATGACGACACCAGATGGACAGAATTTGCACCAGGAGTGCATTCTTCCCTAGAGGAAACTTGATTTGTCAATGCCCTTATCTGTTGTTGACAAGCCTGTGTGAATACTGGTTGCAGTATATGGTGGGACACGAGTGCTTAGTGTTACAGGCGGTCCTGAGTCAAATTCCAAGTGGCGCTAAGGGCCAGGGTTAGAATACGGAAATAGGTAACTTTCCTCACAGTTAGGGGAAGACCACCTGCATTTACTGGTGGGGTCCCAGAGGAATTCCTATTCCGTGTCCTGGCTATAACCCTAACACTAATCCCTCCCCGGAATTTAGTCCAAGACTACCTGTAACACTGCGGTAACCACTGTCATGTCTAACCCAACTGAGTTTTAGGCTTTCTCATTAACAAAAGTCCTCAGCGCATCTAAACCGTCAGTACAGAAATAGAATAATCGCTTAATAAAAAATTACTGGCTGTAATAAGAATAGGATGTTTTAATTCAAGTTTCCAAATCCATAATTTAACTGTGTGGATTAAGCTTAACGCCTGTCAGTTGGCTTCTAGAGTCCAAAGCAAACATATCGGATGCAATAACATGGGTCAACGCTGTCATGAAAATCTACTGTCATCTTGAACATAGGGAATTGAATTTTCATCACGGGAAAAAAGTGATCCTTTGGTGTACAGCGGAAGGAAATTCTTTGGGTTACTGCGCACACACCTGTGTCATGCAGATTGTTACAAACGCCGATCACCTACTGCTCTTTGAACTCTGAAAATATGTACGTTTACCGCAAAGTACAATAAACGGTTTTTAAGTCAGCGTGTGGTTGTGTTCTTAGAAGTGAACGAGTTCCCTGCTCAGTTTTTAAGGAAATTTCACGAAAATAGTTCGCCATTCTAAACTAAATGATTATTCATAACTAATAAATAGTGGGAGTAGGCATGGAATTCTGACACAGCTTAGTCTTTACTCATACAGAAAGACACACCATTCGTTTGATATTTTGAAATATATGCGTCTAACAGACATAAGGAAAAATAAACCCAAAACTGTTGAATTCTTTCTTACGACAATGAAATGGCATTAAATTTACTTACGCTATCGAACTCATTGTAAACAGAAGTACTCATAAATTCCCGAGAATCACTGGGATCATCACGGTCGACTATGCTTTGACTGCAGACCATATTCACGCTGCCCTCGTTCAATGAAGACGAAGGAGGACGGGCTGTGTACGCTCCCTTGGTTTCTTCTCCTGACATTTTGTAGAAATCCAAATTAAAACTACAGTGTGTACGGTTTCATTTATAGCCTGGGCTCTATTGAACACTCCCCACATTCCTACTGGCTACCCGCCAACATCCATTCCGCCATGTCAGCCTATGCGTCGTTTCGATTGGCTAGCGTGAAATTTGCTTGAATAGGCAGCCCAATTAGCGAATAGACTGCGTCGGTGCACCACTTTGCCTGCGCTTCAGTTTGAAAGATGAAGTCAAAGTTTAAAACACACCTGGACTCACCTATCAATGAATGCCATAAGTGAAAGAGAAAAACAACAGCTGTGTGCCCATTGAAGAAATGGAAATATGCCATTCTAATAGTTGCTTACCCTTATTGCAGTAGGCATCAAAATTCTGTTGAAAAATAATCAGCCACGCGGTTTGGCTTGCAGCCAAAAGTGTCAACAAACGTACGTTAGGATACTAAAGTAGTTTCTTGAGAGATGGCTGTTTGCAACAGTCATCTGATGGACCTGGGTACTAGACGAGAAATAAATCCCACCTACGATACCTACTACCTCAAACGCACTTTTTCCTTATACTTAGGAAATTTACAAATTATCCACGCGTTCCGAAAGGGACCTCAAATGACAGATCATCCTTCAAATAACTTAAAGCCCCCTCTCTAACTCCTGCACCCTGCAATAAAACTGTTAACTTCGCCCTATGCTCTCCTTAGTAGTGTTTCTATGGCCCTTAACATTGTGATCGCCCTGCCTCGTAAATAAATACTGCACTACTTTCCTACCCTTCCATTACCGGGGCTCCTTCTTTTAAGTGTCGCAGTATGGGCTTCATGCTGGATTACCAGAGATGCACCCATTCACGTGTGTTAAATATTTTCCGAATCATTTATGGCAGACATTTTTAACCTAAATAAGTCTCCTAACTGAAATTGAAAACTATATTTTTGAGGAATAAATAAGCAGGTATATCGCACAGTGATTTTTAAAGCATATTAAGAGGGGCTTTGGACTTATTTTACCTCCGCACAACTCTGGATCAGAAACCACATCAGTTTGCTGCATGATGAAAATAGAAACTGCTCCTCAAATGAACTCGAAAATGCAGTCGAAACTGGACATGACATTTTAATGTTTGTCAGATGTTATTCCTATAAATTTTCCGGTGTTCAAAGAAGCGAAAACGGAAGCCCCAAATTCTACAGACGTATGGGTGCCCAAATTCGTATGCCGTTGACGACAGTTAGCCTTTGCATACTATGGTCATAGGTTCCGTTACAGTAAGAAGGACAATATAAGGTCCGTATTGTATTCAAAGGTTGTGTCACCTATTCAGAATAATGTTCAGAGGCCAACTGTAGTCATGTTTCAAATTTGGGGTTTCGGCCACCTTTCAAGAAGACCAAAGCCCGAGAAGTGGTCTCTCTATCGAAACTGCGTTGATATCGGTCATTCTCATTTTGAAACGCCTCAGCCTCTTACCCGTTGATGGCACTCAGAGAGTGCAGACTAGTCACACTAGTTTTCGACAGGACCTCGAGTGATTCTTGCCCAATCTTTGAATATTTATCCTTGTTTTGTCCCTGCAGGAGAGAATTTTGTGCGTTTTACCCAAGTATAAGTCAGGATAGGTAGTTGTAACCGACAGCCAATTTCGTTACACCTAGCGTTCTTGTTCAAGGTCACGCTGCCTCTTTCTCTGTGTGAGGTTCCAGGCGCACTGATCTTACTACTGATTTCCGCACGCGCATGCGTTCACACAATAAATCTCTCCATCTTCCGTCTTCTCTTAATAACTTAGCCTGACGATTCTGGCTTTCAAAAGGCAGAAACCATTCGCGCTTTCACAAATTGGCGGCGTCAATGTGTTCGAAGAAAAACTGTCACACCAGACTGAACCTAGTCGTTGCAAAACTTCCTCCCGACTTTATCGTGCTGTTTTTCCTGCGCACACGATTAGGAAAACATGGTTATCGACACCTTGTCTCGAAAGAAAGGAATTCCATCGACATAACTCAGGCGCTGTATTCCAACTCAAATATGGAGTATTCCGTCAGCCGGGTCCCTATTCCTCAGACGCCCTTGCTACTACTGTCAACGACATCCTTCCTCACGGTCTCCTCACAGATCCACGACTCACTTCTGTACCTACTTTAATGAACCCCACAGCGTTCTTCACGGTCTGTAAGCCGTTACACCTCCGAGTCCGGGCGATTGTGGAACCCTTCTCCGACGCAGTCGTCTTGCTCGGCATTCACTGGAACGCACACTGTTTGATACGTCCTTGTCTCTCATACCAACGTGCTAACTCGCCAACACACGTTGACGAGATTACGTCAGCACACCGTCTGATTGATGTCACAACCGCACCTCTGCATACGCTGCAGCATCAGTCCTACCCCCCAGTTCCAGTAACTCCTGACACAACCTCCCCAGTCTGCATGTGCACTCAACCAAATCACTCATTTCTTCGTTTGCGTCACGACCGACACCTTCACTCCGTCCCGTGTCTAACTGGGTGTTATAGACTACAGCCATCAATCAGTTGTCTGGAGGTTCTGTTCAAGGCCTCACTGGCTCAAGGTCATTTACCTACACTGTGAACGGTTCCAGACGTGCTGACCTTACTGCCGTCTGGCCGGCTGCAGCACGCACACACGCGCGCACCGGACATTTACGGTGACCCCATGATCCATTTGAACTTGCCACCCCCGCCCCCCCACGGATGCAAGACGCGTCAAGTGGACAACACCTGAACACGCTCCACAGGCCTACTAAAACAGCTTCCAGCACGGCTTCTCTTTTTCTCTATCCCTCTCTGTGGCATTTTAGCGGCCGGAGACATTGAGGTTAGCGCACACGCGGTCGAATAGTACACCTAAGGTGGCTTCAGAGTTATGTAACGTTGGACAGAGTTGTTAAACACCACATGAAATATGCGTATAGGGATGAACAAGAAAGGGATCTCTAGTAAATGGCACTCATGTTACGATAGTAAATTTTAGAGAAGAAAATGGTGGAAGATCATGAATCCAAGGAAATTGTGAGGTACTGTACAGATGATCCACTTGGAGTGGGAGGTAGTCACGCCATATCAGTTAGACGTCAGTGGGGAATGCAGCGCCGTCGGCAGCTGCGGGTAAGGGCCGGGAATGTGCTGACGGTAAGGGAAACGCGATACGGTCGGACGGCGGAAGCGAGGGAGGCGAATTCGGCGTTAGGGAGGGAAGGAACACTGGTCATCTTCACGGGCAGACGATCACACCGAACTCATCCGGGAACCGCGCCAAAAGTGAACTCACTTCTTTCAAACAAACCTGTGAAACCTGTGGTGCCTTACAGAATGACTTAGAACAATCAGTACACGCCCTGGCCGCCACAGGGAGCACTGCTCTCGGACCTGGGCTTGCTGATTGCGGCGCTCTGGGAGCGCTCATCATCAGTTGGGCGCAGCAGAATCTCTGCTAGGACAGCGATCTGAATGGTAATGTCCAGATTCATCGGTCTCAGTCGTACTTTTTCCACCTAACAGGGTGGTCTTCGCTCCTCCGAAAGTAATATCCTACGAATGTTGGAATAAATGCCCGAGTAGGTGTTCGAGAACGTATCATTCAAACTTGACAGACGACATTTCAACAACGGCGTGGACACCCGTGATAACTTGACACAGTGGGAGGAGGGTTTGGGTGAGAGTCATCCATAAATGGAGAACTCCTCGTCTTTTAGTTAGTTTTAGGAGATGGTTTCCCACGTAATGCCAGTTTCAAAGGACACTGTTCTTCCGTTAATAAGTAGAAGATGAATAAGTCAGCATATATGAAAACTTAGATATTGTTGTCATTGATTGGATCACTGATATAGTCGATTCAGGTTACTTTGAGGTGCATCGCATTTCATGGTCTTTATACTATTCACAACAACTTGCGATCGCCATCCACTATACCCTATTCGCAGCCCAGTTCATCCAAGTAGTCGTTTGACAATATAAAAAGGAGGATCGGAAGCAGAACAGTCCCTTGCTAACTCTACCGGAAATATTTGCCTGATTGGACTTGAAATCATTTACAAAAACACACTGATATCCTGCTGCAAGAAAGTTAGGCATGAAGTTTAATTCTCAACAGCACCCATTTTATGAAGTTTAGATATAAAACGCTAAGGTGGAGCATGCTTGAAAGCTTTTGAAATGCAGTGTTGACCGCATCCTCTTGTGAACCTGTGTTTAGAGATATTTAAACCTGATCATCGACATCAACAGATTATTGACGTGATATCTGATACTTCTAAAACCAGATCCATGCTCACTAGGCAGGTTTTCTGTTCAAGCTGCCTTAATAATCCGATTTTGCAGTTCTCTCTATCAGTTTTCAACCAACATATGTAAAACTCTGGAGTCTGGAATGTTTTGGCGAGGTTTTCTCGATCTCTTAATGTGTGAGGTTAAGCTCGACCTGCTTCCAGTCCGTAGACGAGACCCCAATCCGCAGTGAGGCTTCAAAGATCTTGCAGAGCGGCAGGGCACTTCATTCAAAAGGTGCATTCTATATTTTTGCAGAGATACCGTCACGGCTAGGCGATTTAAAGGGCTTAGGTGTAACCTCACCTGCGTTCTCCGTAATTATTGGCAACATTTGGACGTCGAATACATCGCCACCATCACTATAAGAAACCAGCGATCCCAACTGATTCATTATTCAGAATTTCATCAGAGACCTCTGAAGCTCCTTGAATAAGCATGCGATTCGATCATGTCGGAAGAAGCAGTAACTAAATTATTTCCCTATATTCCGGAGAATTAAGACCTTGCTTCTAGGACTCATTTCATGCGTACACTTTATTGATATTAACACGGAGAACACGGTAGTTCGTTCCTGACCATTGCATCGGATCTTTGAATAAGGAGTTTTCAAATTTAAAATTAGCTCATTCCGCCAGCTCTCGATTAATCTGCAACACAGCACGTGGCCTGTATATCCGCCAATAATTCTTCAACTATTGCTTTCAATCTTTTTCTGTCGC